CGGAATTATTATTTAACTCATAATCCATGCACAGTTCCTCTTCCGCAAAATTCGCTGGCTCGTCGTGTAATACATATGGTTCAAGTATTCCGCTTGTAACTGTGGAAGAATCGCTTGCAATAAGAGATACAAAACATGATAAATCAGGCTCTTCTGCCGTTACATTACTAGTTCCGCAAAAAAGATTGGTCGAGTGCTTTTGCCTAAAATATACTTTTTTATTGGGTACTTAAAATCTAAGATTGTCGGTTGGTCATATGTACCGCCAACGGCTCTAATAAAAGAAAAAAAGTTTTCAAGTACATCCTGGTTTAAATGCCTCGTTAAAATGTACGTGATCTTGAATTTAGAATTGGAAACTTTTCCTGAATATAAGGCAACATTTCCCGCAAAGAACTGTTATTGACTATAATTCCTTTTTGAAATGCGATTAAACTTTTATGTTTTCCAATTTTAATTTTGATCATAAGTGTATTCGTTTCGTCTAATATACTATTTTGCCTCTCTACATCGATACCATATGCATTTTTTCCCTCATATTGCCCATACATACTGCTGGTATTAAAAAAAATCAAACCAGTCGTTGAATATTCTAATAACGCGCGCTGATTCTGTCCAGTCTAAATTTTCCATGTAACCTTTCAATCCGTACCATTCAATGGCTTTCGCTACGCGTTCCGAAAATACATGTACAGCGGGGAGTACTTTTTGTCGTTCTGTTGCTTGAACGTCGAGATGATATTGTGTGAGAGAATGTGACACTTTTATATCCTTTGCATTAATGTCTACTATTCGCTGAAGACACTTCTTATCGATACGCAGTCCACGGATGGTAAATCCGTTATCAAGCAAATGATTTCTTGCCAGTTTTAGCAAGTGTGGCACATCTGCAAATACAAACACTTTTAGATTGTGATCGACAGGATGAGAAAAGTAATAATTTTTCGGTAATACCCCTATATTTAATTCCGACCAGTGTACTTGAACCCATATCACATGCAATCACTACAACTGTATAACCAATGTCATATAATTGCGAAATAATAGTTTCAAGTGTGTCTTTTTTCATCGCCTTATCGTAATCATAATATATAGGTTGTTTCCAATTTTCAAACAAACTCTGTAACATAACACACTGGCACGTCTTATGCGGCGCTTTTTGGATTTTCCGATCGATACCTACTTTATTAGATAAATACACCTCATCAAACGTTACGACAACCAGTTTTTTTAAATCTTGCATACTTTTCCCTTTAACCTTCATACAATCAAGCACTGCATTCATAATACCAGGCTCTGTATTAATATTACTTGCCCACCTTCTAAGAATTGAAAACGCAGGGAGGGGCGTTTTCACAACGTTTCGCAAATATCGGTATGCTCTCGGGCTAACGCTTTTCAACGATATAGCACTGGCTATGTCCTCGGAAGACCATGTCACGCGTTTTCTGGATAGATTCAGCAAGGGATGATCCCGATTGACCACGTCTCGATTGGACACCACCAATCACAGCGACCGGTGCTTAGGAGCTTTGTAGTCTCAAGCGCTGTGAGTGGCTCGTGTCCAACTGGGTGCCACTCATTCAGCAATGATCGGATTTGCCCTGGCATGAAAACTTTGCTTAGTACTTCGTACATCTTTGCTTCGTACATTTCATGCTCCCGATTCTGATGTTGCTTGTACTCTGATAACTTTTCCTTCATCGTGGTTAATTGCTGTTGATGATTATCACTAAAAATATACGAGTACAATTAAATAAACAAGTATATACAAATATTGTAAACATTACACTTAAAAAATAACAAGGTATTATCACTGACCTGTTCAATTTCTCTTTCTCCTCGTACTTCTGCAATTTCTTTTTCATTTCTGCTAATTCCCATTGCAGATTTTGTCTAAAAGCATATAATAAAAAATTAAAAAATTATTATATAAATCTTACCTAATAGTTTGTCAAGTAAATAAAATAGCGTTGCGGGTTTAAATTAAAGAGTTTATTTACTCGCAATCCAGTTGAATAAGGATAGAGACAAAAACTATCCTATTCTTAACTATGTAGAACTTACATGGAACTGACGTCATCAGCGCGGCTACATAGGTCCGTTGTAGCAGTTGACGTTGTTGGTGTTACATCAACAATAGTATCCACAACTTCTGGTACATTGTTGATGTACAATGCATCCAACTCTTTAATGGCGATGAGTGATGATGTATTTGTCATAATCGGTGACTCGTTACATAAATGTAACGTGGGAATTGCATCAATCACAACTTGCGTTCTCTTACTGGAGAATACTCCAATAGTTGTTGTTGTAGGGACTTCTCGAAGCATGAAAGTTCGAAGTGAATCGTACATATCCTCCCTGAACAAAACAGAATGTATGTCTTATATTCATGTTGGTTGTATCTATTAAATAATAATAATATCACGAAATACTTTCGTAGTAACATGCCTTTAATAACGGAGTCGTCCTGTTTTGCACAAACATTACGCCACGTTTCAGCAATTGCGATATCTTTCGGAAAAATATTGCACCTTTTTTCCAGGCATATTGTTTGTTTTCCGAAAATAGTTCGTGCATCCTTTCACTGCACAGTTCATTTTTTTCTTCGTAATGAAGTCACAATTCACACTGTAGTATGTATAAACACAATTCACGCTAGCCGGATGTAGGTTATCCATATTACAGCCTGTGTATAGCGGGATAGCGACCATATTTCACAAATACGAACCGCTTCGGAAATAGCCGAAGCTGGCCGAATATGACGTATGCTTATTGCCTGCGCACTGGTCTATGGACGAGCATACCTTTGTATTTATACCATGACTAAAACGAAAAATAGGCTTTTCTTCCCGAAATATTATTCGTGCCGGTTTAAAACTCGGCATGGTTTACGCGAATCTAATTTAAAATTAAGAAATGGAGTTATTTCTGCGTTAATTAGCAGAATTTTAATATAATTAACAAATTAACTTTAGGGCCTCTCTCCGCGGTCCGCGCAGTCTCTCTTTGTAGTCCGCGCTAGTCCCTCTCCGTGGTTCGCGCTGCTACCTCCCGACTCCCGGCCGGTACTCGCTAACGCGGCTAATTGATATTATTTATTCGTTTTTAGACTAACTCAAGCGGTCGTGGCGACCCAAAGGCGAGAGATTAACTAAACATATTAACGCAATGAGAGACTTCGAAATTAATCATATTCTTACTCAGAGCGGCTGAAGTCCCATCGCGAGTCCGGCACGACGCACGACACGCGCACCGCGAGCCGTGATTGACGCGCGATAACTTATTCCTATTTTAGAGGATTGTAGCCGCTGAAACGTTCAGAGCAGGCTAGTTTTCTCTAAATACGCGTAGGATGGCAATGGCATAACTATCATAGCGTATGAAAATGAACTCTTTACTCCACGCGGAGTTATTTGACTTAACAGTTCGTCACAACGGAATAGCACGAGGCACGCCACCTTAGTGTGCTCTGATTGGCTCTCGCGGTACGCGCGCCACGCGTCACTGGCATGACTGAATAGCGCGTCACCGGGTAAGATTTCCGCTACGAATTTCACAATTTTAGTAAAAGATTGTAGATAGACGATATAAGGACGAAAAAGAAAATTAATTTAGCGCAAAATAAAAGGATTAAATAACAAAAATATTCGGAAAAATAAAACAGAATTATGTTTTGAAGAGGGGCTGGACGTAACATGTTCCTCAAAAAAATGCTACATACAAAAATATTCAAACGACAATAGCGTTATTTTTATATCATATATGATGTACGTGCTTGAAAAACATCTTATCTTATTAGTCCTTGATTATTAGTCACTCGATTATTAGTCACTTGAAATTACTATATAAATCACAAATTTCTTGCAATAATTTCAGTATAAGGCATAATTAGCAAGAAATAACGAATAATTCAAGTACAAAGTCAAAGTCAAACAGTGCAAATCTTTAAAATGGTACAAATGAATCCTGCAAATATTCTCAATATGTTAATTATCCTTTTTTAAATTTCAAAAATTCCGGAAACACCTGTAAACGATAAAGAAATTGAATTACGCGATGTGATAAAGGATATTATACATTCTTCAATGAATGAAATGTCATGTGATATTCATACTGATACTACGTTAGAATTTGAAAATTATTGGGAATCAAACTTACTGAATGAAGATTTTGTCGACGATTATGAAATATAAATACTTGAAGAAGATGAAGACGATGATCAAGCTGAAGATAGTTGTATTTCAGAAGAACGTGAAATTGTTAATGATGGCTATAAGAGAAGCGCTGTTGAATTTTGGAAAAGTGCAAAAAAGGGACGGTATTCCTTATCATCGGTAAAAAAATCGTTTTAAAAAGGTGAAGTCTTTGCCACAACTATATCGATGGGAACATTACATACAAAAAGGAGATACCCATAGAGAAAAGATGTTATATATTTCCGAATATGTCTTACAAAATTTTAAAAAAGCTGATGACGAAAAAGAAATTATTCATGGTATAGACTTACGACGATGAACCTACCCCTAGAAGCCACAAATCGATCTTTCTTTAAAGCTAGTGCAATATGGATATTAAATTTTAAAAGAAAATATAGAATCGTGTCAAGAAAAATAACAAAATTTGTAAGTCGTTCTGCGCAAAGAGATAAAGAGCAATTACAAATTGCATGTCAGGAATTCATAGCTATCATAAAATCTAATATAGTAAATCTTTTCGAACTAGAGAATATATATAATGCAGACGAAAGTGGATTCAATTTTGAATTACATTCAGGCAAAACACTGACCACGCAAGATGTTAAAACAGTTGAAAGTACGAGGGCTGTTTGATAAGTACCCGTGTTTGACGACTGAGGGCGCCTCTGACTAAAAGTCTGTATACCATCGTGTAACGCCATTTCTTGAATGACGCAAGTAAAAATTTCAGACAGCTGTGCCGGTTAACTTAGTTTTTATAACAATTGAAAGTTGACGAGTTTGTGCTTGTTTGCAATCATGGAAAAAGAGCAATATCGGTCTGTGATTCGATTCCTGTTTCTGGATGGGAAGACGTGTGAAGAAATCAAAGAAAAGTTGCATGCCGTATATAAGGACAACGCACCTTCAATGACTATCATAAGATATTGGTACAACGAATTTAAGCGTGGCCGAACATCCATTTTTGATGAAGAGCGTCCAGGTCGTCCGATTGAGGTGACTACGGAGGATATGGTTAACAAAATCCATGATATCATGTTAGCAGACCGCCGGGTGAAGATCAGAGAGATTGCTAACGTTGTAAAGATCTCAACTGAACGCATACATAATGTCCTACACGAAACATTGGGCATGAAAAAGCTATCGGTGAGATGGGTGCCGCGTTTGCTCACAGTGAAACAAAAACGGAATTGCATGACAACTTCAAAGCACTGTTTGGACACGTTTAAGCGCAATCCGAAAGAGTTTCTGCGGCGTTTCGTCACTGTTGACGAAACATGGATCCACCATTACACACCAGAAACGAAAGAACAGTCTAAACAGTGGACTAAATTCGGCGAATCTGCTCCAAAGAAGGCAAAAACGGTTCCATCGGCCGGAAAGATCATGGCCACCGTTTTTTGGGATTCGCGAGGCATCATTTTCACCGACTATTTGGAGAAGGGAAGGACAATCACGGGATAGTACTATGCTGATTTATTGGACCGATTCAACGCTGAATTAAAGAAAAAACGGCCTCATTTAGCGAAAAAAAAGTGCTCTTTCACCATGATAACGCACCAGCTCATTCGTCCGCAATCGCCATGGCAAAACTGGTCGAATTACCCTACGAATTGTTGTCTCATCCACCCTATTCTCCAGATTTGGCCTCCTGCGATTTCTATTTATTTCCAAACATGAAAAAATGGCTTGGCGGAAAGCGCTTTGCATCAAATGAGGAAGTCATCGCCGAAACAAAGGCCTATTTTAAGGAGTTCGACCAATCATATTTTTTAAACGGTATAAAAATGTTGGAATATCGCTGAGCTAAATGTATCGAGTTGAAAGGAAATTATGTAGAGAAATAAAAAGAAAAAAATTTTTTTTTAAGTGTTTTCTTCCCTAACGGGTATTTATCAAACAGCCCTCGTATAGTTCAATCACTATCGGCAACTACGCATAGTTACACAATTATGCTCATAATCTCTGCAAGCGGACAATTGGAATCGCCTCTCTATTTGGTACTGAAAGAACCTAGTGGAAATTTCGGACCACGCGTAGAGGAAAGTTTGTTTAGACCTGCAAATATTTACAATGCAGCATCAAAATCAGGCAAATCAACTACACAACACTTTCAGTCTTGGTTTACAAATGTATTTGTACCCGCAACTGGAAGTTTTATTGTGCTGTTGTTAGACTCTTGGAGCGGACATTGTTCTGCAAGTCTGCAAGAATTTATGTTAAAAAAAGATAAAGATATACGAATTTTAACTATACCAAAGAAAA